AACAACAACAACAACAACAACAACAACAACAACAACAACAACAACAACAACAACAACAACAACAACAACAACAACAACAACAACAACAACAACAACAACGGCAACATCAAAATACGAGTGAGCGCGATAAAGCGCAATTATATCCTATCCCAACTAGAATTTTTTATAAAAATCGTTTCAAATCCTCTCGGGATATTCGACCTGATCAACGATCGTTGTTTTACGACAAGAAAACAGGTCAATATACGATCGGCGATGACATCAACAGGACACGCATTGTTGTCCCGCATGGTTTGTTTATTTATTTATTTTTTTTCAATTCCCATTTTTGTGATTTTCCTTTGCTTTTAAATATTTTAGGCACCTTATTGTGATTGAGAAGATGACAGAGAATTGACATTTATGAAGAGATCACTAATGAGACAAATACTAAAGGATGATTAAGTTTAGCCAAGAAAAGTTTTGTTCCTAACGGATAAATATACGATGGCAGAATTTAGCAAAGCCCAAACGTTTATTAATATTTCATAGATTATGGTTAATGCTTGGATATCGGTATTTCGAATAAATTAATAAAATGGTATAATGTAATAACTGACATTTTTAAGAGTTACTTATTTGAATAAACCGTTAACAATAGTAAAATGATAATTTTGGGTAAGCTTGAAAATGGATGAAAGAAATAAAATGAAATTAAATTGAATTGAATTCATCAATTTTTTTCATTTTATATTTTAAAAAATAACATGAATATGATAAATTAGATTAAATCAAAAATTAAATGAATATATTTTAGATGAAACGATGACGGATATTCGTATTAAAATGGATATCAACAATACTGCTGATGATATTCATGCAACAGTAATTAATAAAAAACCTATTACGATAATATCACAAGATCAACAGTATCGTTATAATGGATATGCTGGACATATTACACTTGATCTTACTGATAATGATTCGAGTAAAGTAACAAATGTTAAATTTACTCAGATGCCTCAAATATTTCAAAGAAATAGCAAAATTTCGAATTTTTTAATTAATCATAGAAATGAATTATATTCTGAAACATATGTGGATCAATCAAGGGAAGGATTTTTTCGTAGTAATACGGAAATTTTTAATCAAATTTTAAAAATTAGAAAAGATATTGATAGTTTAAGAAGGTATATTGGAAAGGTTAATGAATTTCTCCAACATATAAATGCTAACCTTTCTGAATATAACACCAATATTATTCAATTATTTGATAAGACGACATTTGTAGACAATTCCAAAGGTGATAATTTTCGATTTCATCAAATTACTGATAATTTTTTGCCTAAAGGCAATATTTATACTGGAACAACTAAGCCAACCTATATTGCTTTCCCACGAGCAGTAAGTATTATAAATCCAATATTAATGTCACATTTGCAAGCTAATGCTGCGACATCTGTACTAGCGAAAGGAACGGAATTGAGAAGTAATGTGGATGATGTAGATGATGGTGATATAACAAATTCAACAAGGTTTCCGGAAAAACATTCCGTTGAATCGGATCAAAGAATATCATTGAATGGGAAACGTTTCGTAGAATCTATCCAAAATGGACAGTTATATTCACTGATAAAAAATGGAATTAAAGGAAATCAAAATCAATTTGTAGCAAATGATTCAAATGATAGAATAAAGATGAGGATCATTGAAGGATTCAATCGGAAAACCGATGAGATTTATCAAAAATCGGCAATCAATGATAATCATAGAATTAAAAATGAAACATTTATGAACAAAAACACGAAGTAAATCAATTTCAATCGACAACAAAGGCAAATCATCAATTATTCGTAACAGTACTATCACCAAGTAATGAAAAAGTATTACCAAATATTACTGTAACTGAGGCATATCAACCATTCTCGATAAGACGATATTCGGCTCGTTCAAAGACCAATTTTGATAAACAAATTAATAAATTAATTAATTTTAATACATTAAAATCATTGACAACAACTCATCAGTTGCTTAATCCTATACCGATCACATCTATATCAGATGACACATTTCAGCATTCCACCACCCTATCATCATCACATTTATCACCTTCAACAGGAAATGATTCACAATTTGAGTTTGGTAATAATTCATATGCTGTAATATTGAGTTTTGCATCTCCAACAGTTGCAAAAACTTCAGGTCAAGCTACCACAACTCAAACACCACTTTTATTGACACGAAATACAGTTAGCAATATTGTTGTTACAATTATTACTGATACTGTTTCAACTAGTACTACTACCACTACTACTACTAATACTACTACTATTCTTAGTGCTACTAGCACTTCTGCTATTACTACTCTTACTACTTCTACTACTACTAATACTACTACTACTACTACTACCAATACTACTACTACTACTACTGCTACTAGTACTACTACTGCTACCAATACTATTACTACTACTACTATTGCCACTACTACTACTACTGCTACTAGTACTACTACTGCTACTACTCTTAATGCTATTAACACTACTAGTACCACTATTTCTACTACTGTAACTTCTCCAACATCGGAAACTATCGGGCCAACTTTAGGCTTTGATAAGATTACGCGACGTAATTTAGATACGATGCCACCATTGATTCCATTGAAGCCGAATTTTTTTGGCAGTAATTTTGACGGTATATTTGTGCCATGGTTTAATGATCCTCAACTTACATTATGGCCTGAGAGATTGTTTGGAAGAAGAAAGTGAAATTTTCGAGATTCGTCAATGGAAAATTTCAAAAGTTACATATTAAATATTTGATTTTTGAATTTTTTCTTTTCCCGAAGAAATAAAATAAAAATTGCGAAAAAGAAAACTTTTAGTAATTAATTAGTAATTTTTGCATAGTATTAATTAAATGATTTTAATATCAAACATCAATCTTAAAGAGAAGTATTAGCCATTAGTTTTAATGAATTATTGAAATTATAATTGGATGATTCATTAATTGGTAACTTAATAATCATTGAAATTAATGATAAAATTGTTTAGTTGACTTTACATATGATTATCTGAATGTAAAATGAAGAAAGACAAGATCGTCATCATTCGACATATCATTTTCATGATTATTTAACAATATCGAGAATAAGATGATATGCAGAAATATGAATTGATTCATACATTAAAGCTAACTTTATGATAATATTATCAGTTAAAATTGATAAAGCTTTGGTCTAATTTTTATTACATTTGATAAATAATAATGTTCCATTGATTGGATGTTTGTTGTTTGTTTTGAGATATTTTATTTGTTTATATATTATGTGAAATGACATTATCGATATGCTAATGTGACATATCAATTAAACTTTAAATATCTTGTTCTCTC